GCCCTCCCTCCTCCCACCAGACACACACACACACACACACACACACACACACACACACACACACACACACAGAGACACACACACACGTGTGTACACACTCGGACACACACACATGCAAATTCCAACTTCAAATGGAATGCAGCATTAGGTCATAAACTTTGCAAAAATCCCTTGATCCAGGTCTTAAAGAGCCAAGTTATCAATGGAGAAAAGCCTGCAGCCAAAAATAATAACTAAAAAATAACTTATGAAGACACTTTAATTTGACATGCACAGATTTGTTTAGAATGTTTTACACTATAAATGTCATCACATTTATTTTCAAGATAAAAGGAGCCTATCTGAAGGGGTTCTTTAAGACCTGGAAGCAAATCAAACACCCTATCCCCCATTTGTCATGGAAACCACCGCTAGCCATTGGTCAGAGGTGGTAACCATGGTAATAAATACAAACCACTGAGATGGTGTCATCAGGGTAGGTGGATTATTATAACAACGAGTTAACCGCCGTGTCCCATTCATCACACTCGCATACTGCGACACCCAGCTGGCAGTAAGCCTTGGGATGAATCTATCTGCTCTCCGTAGTGAGTTATGTGTATAGGGGCAGGAACAGCTTGAACACTGGCTAATTACCACCTGATAACAAGCAGTTTGTCAGCCAGGGTTATTACTGTGACTTCAAGTTACTGAGTTTAGGAAAAATCTGGATCTCTTTAAAGCTCAAAGTAGTGTAGCATAATTTTCTCTTTCATCTACATATACAGAGAGAAGAACTGTGGGAATTAGGAGAGGGATGGTATGCTAGGCAGCAGGTTAGTAGTGTGAATGGTACATGGCAGTGCAGGTTGGCCAGCATTGTTATACTGATCCACCCACCTTAATGGGGATCCTTTTGGTGTGGCGATGCCATAGCCTTTTGAGTCCAGGTTTCCTCCAACTTTCATTGTGTCACAGGGTTTCCTCTGCTCGATGTACTCATTCATGGTGGACTCCAGCAGGTAAGCGTACTTCCCCTTGGATTTCCTGACACGCTGGACACCCTCTGATGTTTTCTTGACAAAAACTGAAGGTTCTGCGTTTTTCATGTACTGCCACATCTTGTCAAACAAGGCGATTTTAGACCGCTAAAAAAGAGAAACAGACACAGATAGTATGCTATAACTTAATTTTCATAACTTACCTTTAGATAACCTGTAATGTATGTAAAGAAGGTGTTTACCTAAAGCACTTTTGAAGGTAAAGAGAGTATGACTGTAGCCTGAATGAGATGATGCATCATCCCACAAG